GAAAGAGTTTTCATCCTCATCTTCTGTATGATGGGTACTGCCTGTAGGCCACAGAGCAGAAAATGTGTCAAAGAATACGTTTGAAGTGGAGGAAAAAAATCTTGTTGCCTTTTCTGTTGTGTCTTCCTGTTTAGGTGAAAAACTTCACTGATGTTCATCCTGACTATGGTGCTCGTATTCAGGTTTTGCTGGACAAGTACAATGCTGAAAGTGGGAAAAAGGTATGCTGATGGTTTCTGTAGTTGATTTTTCATTGTCTGTGGATTATCTTGGCTGCTTTTGTAAATCCAGCAGAGTGAGAAATCAGTCTTGATTCTCATTTGGTTTGAATGGGAGAAGTTAGTGCATGTAGAATTACAAAATGAGGAAACATCACTCTAATTACATTTAATTAAACGTTGATTAACCAGTGGTGTATGATTACTTTGTTTCAGTTGGGTTTTTGTAAGGCTTCTGGAAGATAACTGTACATGATATGCAATGTGTTCAGGTTGATTCTTCAGACCAAATGATTACCCACTCTTTGTAATGGTAATGAAACATTTCCGCAAGCCTTTCCTGGGCTCAGTGCTTGCTACGGAGTGTAACAAAAGTGTTGCTTCAAGCACTTATTTTTTTCTGAAGTTCTCCTGACTACTTTTAATAGAACTAGCTCTGAATATTTCTTTTGTATTATTTTTAGGATATAATTAGGACATATACACAGCCCACAACTCGTATCTCCGCCAAAGAAAGATCCAACTTGTAAAGCATGCTGCAGAAATTTACTCTATGAATTTTGCGTCCTTATAACTGCAAGACAACCTGTTGAAGATGTTAATGAATGCAGCAGACTTCTGCACAAATACAGAGTGTTTTACAGGATTGATTTATTAAGCTTTCAAGTGCCTATATCTGTATTGGAAACTAGGTAACACTAGCTAACAATCCTAGTGCCTTTCGACACTAGTGCTCTACTGCTTGTTAACAACATAATGATTTCTTAAGGAAATTCATGACTAAAAATTGTCTTCGTTTCTAGAAGCAAATGTAAGTTTAATCAAAGCACTGTTTCATTTTTTTAATTGTGGAACTTTTCTGGCTAGATCGCACAGTAGAACTTCTATAATGTTACTGTGATTATCCTTGTGGATAAACTTGTTTATGTTGCTCAGTATTTCTAATAAAAGTTATCTGTATGTATTTGTTTGACACTTGCTTTGAATTTAATTTTTGGCCTTCCATAAGTAAAATGATATGTAGTAGTTCGAGTAAAATGTTGGTTACATCTCGTTCCTTGATTGAAATGAAGCTATCTAGAAAGGTTAGTCTGAATGTATGTCGATTCTATTCCCAATAAATATTTTAAGGTAGTCTTTGCTTAATAATGCTAGGTTGGGTCTAGCTGAACTAAGAGAGATAGGAAAGGATATTTTCTCATTATGTACATTTTGCAACTAAATTGATTACATCTTACAGTTCTTTAGGGGGCATAAATTGGTTTTTCTAATCTGTAAGAATATAAATAGAAAAATATTGATTTTCCACGTGTCTGAGAAATTAACCTCCAAATGCACGAATATTTTGATCTTGGCCAAATTCAAGCTCAAGCACTTTCAAAACTATGCCTGACTAGTTCCTGAAATTCTGTTATTTTACTGCTGTAATCTGATACTGCTATCTATTGATCAAGCCAGAGCTAGTTTTCAGAGTTAGACTTTAACTGAAGTGGCATATTTGTATGAATGTAGGTATCTTTAGCTAGATATACATATAAAACCTGATTTTAGGCATGTGGTAGTGTTGCCTAGTATTTGCAATTTAGTTAATCAGTGCAAAAGATTTTGGAACCCTTTGGATTGAAAAGCGTTCCCTGTTATTACTCCTTAGATCCAAAGGGGTTTTTTTAGCTTAGTAATATTTTTATTCTCAGTCTTGGAGTATAATCTTTAATCGAGCCTTACTAATTGGCACAAAATGGAAGTGTTATATTTGAGAACTAAGAGCAATAGTTCCATGATAGGACTTACCTTGATTGGCTCTGAGTAATGGTTGCTGAAGAAAGCACGCTGTCAGCATCTGAATGCTTTACAATACAAGCACACAACAAAACCAAGGCTGAAACTATTGTTTTATAGAGGCTGAAATCTCACCTAGTATTTTTTCTTAGAGAATTATTTGGAAAGTTTTACCTGGTTATGGGGTAATTAGTTTCCAAGCTGACTGTTGAAGTTTTGAATAAAAATCTATCATACCTGTTGCACATTTTTGGTCTCTTAGGATTAGCCTCAGAGTTTCAGAAGTGTGCGCAGTAGGATCAGGCAATTCACCGTGCATCTAAAGTCCTGGCAAGTTTTAGTAACTGCTCTGCCTGTTACTTGTGCCTCTTCCCTTGCCAAGGGACAGGTTGGTGTATATGTGTAATTAGTCCAGAACCTAGCTGCACAGCATTACCCCTCACTGGAAATACTTCCTTTCCTTGTTTGCCTGCTGGTCCTGCCTCATTAGCATTTGGATTGGAAAAAATGTGAATGATGATACAAAGGATTTCAGAGCCCAGCTACTAGCTCTTAACTCAAGCAAATGTTATACAAATTTCAAATCCTAGCAGGTTTTTTTCAGTATTATTATTAAATTGTAGAAAGCTACTTCTTTTGCCAGCTCATTTATCTACAAAGCAATTGTGAAAAATTATTGTGATATAGATGCAGTAAAATAATATGAAGTGGTAGCCTGCTCTGTTCTGGGATTCAGTTGGATTTTTACCTGATCACAGAGCTGAATGAGCTACGTGAATGGGTGGGAATATTTCTTGCTGGAACATAAAATCCTAATGAGTTTTGGAAAAGAATAAGCAAGGCTTAATTTTTCATTTTGGTTGTCTGCTGAGTGAACTATATTGTCTTCCTCTTATTTCTGAAATAAAACTGAATTTGAAAATCTCTTGGCAATATGTTGTCTGTTCTCTGTGCAAATGTTTTCAAATAGTTTATTTTAATCTAGGAAGTTTATACCTCCATCTGCTTTTTGGAGATTATGCAGAAGCTGTTGACGTTGTGGGTAGTTGGTATCTATTCCAGAACTTGCTTGGCCTGCACAGGCCCTGACAGCAACAAAAGCCTTGGACTCAAGGTTGATGCCTGGAATTCACGTGTAGGGGCTAAGGACTAAATTCTCTGATACATGAAATTACATGTTAGGAACCTTCTTTTTACTTTCCTAAGCCTTCAGGAAAAGGCATAGTGCTCGTGTCTGTGGGGTGGGAGTGCCTACGATTGTGTGTACCATATGGATGGGAAAAAGTTGCTGTCCCACTTTCCTCTGGGTGTTGTTGATGATGCCTTCCTTAGGCCTCTGTTTGCTGAAGAACCTTTTGTTATTTTTGATCTAAAAACTTTGGTGGTAATTTACAGAACTGTCACAAAGTTACCTAGTTTTTCATCACACTTCAATTTTAGTGAAGGACAGTTCTTTATAGTTTAACAGAATACACAGAGTTAAAATACAGCACTTGATGTGTCTCAAAGATACTGTTATAGCCTTTCAAAAAGCGTTTAGTACAGAGGTTTATTCTACCATCTATATTACCCAAATGCTCGGTTCTGCTTTTCTTATTGCAGTTACCTTTTTCCGAAATCCCTACTTTTTATTTCACAGGGAAGGAGCTGCATGCCTCATTGTACTTTGTGAGGTAACCTTTACACAACTGGGTAGGTGCAGCTACTGACCGTGTGCTGGAAACGACCTTGTGGAGGGTTCAGTGGAGTGTTTAACATGGACAGCTATTCTGTGAACTTTGTCCAGGTGGCCTTTATCTGACCATGCCCATAAATGATTATCACTGATAAATTCTACTGTCATTTAAACTAGTTTAGAGTAGAGGTTAGGCTAAAATTTTAATGACGTCAAGTCAGAAAAGAAAATCAAGCACTAAGAATGAGGAAGGGGAGAGGAAACATCTTGTGTGGTGATGTTGAGAAGACATAGAATGGGCTATGTAGGTAGTACCTACCTTCTGCAGCTACCGTTGTTTTGAAGACTCACAGTTTCAGTGTAGTTGTGCTTAAAGGACTGACCTATGTTCTGTGCTGCTAAACTGACCGTGACAAGTATTCTACAGTAAAACCTGGCTTTTTCAAAAGGCACGGAGAGGGTTAGGCAACACTGGAAGAACAATAATGCTATTTCTTCAAATAAACAAGATAAATCCATTTACAGCTATTTACTGTGAGAATAAAAAGACTGTGTACATGACATGACACAAGCTTGCTTGTGTTTTGACTTTGTTCTGCTCAAGTAAAATCAAATATTCCTTTGACAGGTTCTTGCAATGCAGTTTTCAGTCATGTGTAAAGGAGGATTGCTCAAGACTTTGCTTTTATTTTAGATGCACATATATAACAGTGCAATGGGGAATGAATTTGAAACTTGTGTTTTGGAAATTCCAGCTTCTCCCAGAGTACCTCTCCTCCTGATGGGCCCTTCCCCTTTATTCCTAGGTGGTTTTCCCTTTTCCAATGCATTTGGACTTGAGTAGCCAAAAGCAGCAGCAGATTCCAGAGTCTCGGTGGACATTTGTTGAAGTGGGCTGTTCCAGGAGTTGAGTGAGTGTATGGAGTTGCTGAACCTTCTCCAGGAGGAAAAAAAAGGCTGAGGTAGGTTTGCAGCAGATAGTTCCCACTTTAAGTATGTTGAAGCCTAGATGTACGCTAGAGGTGAACGTTTCCTACCTATTTTATAAGTTGCTATGGTTTGAAGCAAGTATTGGACTTCATGATTGATACTAGTTTTGAGACCTCAGATGGCTTAATCTAAAGTTCTGCCATGAGGAAACTTACCTCAAAGATGCACCTAGCTTGGGACTTTACTAGTAGGTTGAGCCTTCTTAAAAAAAAATGTATTTTTAGCTGTGTTAAGAGCACCTTTTAACATCACAGGTGGGAGTTTCAAATAATGTCTGAACACTTAGCCATGCAAAATGTGTTCACTCTGTCATGACAGGGCTGCGTAGCCTCCTTTGCCTAGATGCTGAGAGGAAAAAAGATGGGGGACCCAGCACTGCTGCCTCCCAAAGGCCCTTGGCCAGCGCTGGCTGACGGGCTCAAAGGAATGGTGACCATCATCATTTTGGAAAGAGGAAAGTAGTGTTCTCAGTTTTTTCCCCTTAATAAACATTTGAAATTATTTAATGCAAAAGAATTTTACTTTTTCCCCTCAAATTATCCAGTCTTTGTTCTGCCTGTGGGCTGGTTTCTGGCTTGTGTCCTTCCATTTCTGCCTTCTGTCCGAGGGAGAGGAGACGGATCTGTGCCATCTGACTGCATTTCCCAGCAGTAAATGAGCAGACCTTGAGGGGTCTTGTTTGGATACGCACATGCACTGTGTGGGCTGGTCTTCTGGCACACGGTATGAGCCACAGCTCATCATTTAGTGCCTTAACTCTGCAGGTTTCTAAAGGCAATAATGTCCCAGCCTCAAGTCCAACCTTTCTGTACCTCAGTAGACAAAGGACATGGACCTGTTGGAGCGGGATCAGAGGAGGCCACAACAATGATCCAAGGGCTGGAACACCTCTGCTCTGAGGAAAGGTTGAGAGAGTTGGGGCTGTTCAGCCTGGAAAAGAGAAGGCTCCAGGGAGAGCTTACTGCAGCCTTCCAGTACCTGAAGGGGCCTGCCAGAGAGCTGGAGAGGGGCTGTTTACAAGGACATGTAGTGATAGGACAAGGGATAACGGCTTTAAACTGAAAGAGGGTAGATTTAGACCAGATATAAGGAGGAAATTTTTTACAATGAGCGCAGTGAAACCCTGGCACAGGCTGCCCAGAGAGGTGGTCGATGCCCCATCCCTGGAAACATTCAAGGTCAGGTTGGAGGCGGCTCCGAGCAACCTGATCTGGTTGAAGATGTCCCTGCTCACTGCAGGGGGGTTGGACTAGACGACCTCTAAGGGTCCCTTCCAACCCGAACCATCCTGTGATTTTTTTTCTGCACTAAGTTTTGTTTGCTGTGGGGTTTGGGGCATCAAACCAGTGCTGCAGAAGTGGATCGATCAGTGATGTGTTGCATGTTCTTATCTCTCATTGGCAATAGATTACATGAAGATACACAGTGCATGTTAAAGCTTGACCTTTCCTCCCAGGCAGAACTTACTCTGAACCGATGTTTCAGCTCACAACTGCGTGATCGTGACACAGGTCATGACGTGCA